CTGACTTACTTTGAGGCATTCATATTGACATTTTCCTGAAAGACCTTGAGAAGTGAGGAAGTGAAATGAGTAGTTAGATGAACAACACCGTACAACATATTTCGGGTCATCGAATATGACAGGACCTTTGTGATCAGGAATTGAAAGTAGATGCCAAATCGTGAATTTCTGCAACATTCGTTCTACATTATTTGCTCATATAAGAATCTGAGAGCAAAGGTTTATTAAGCATGGTTTGTGTAACAAGTCGACCGTAATTCCATATGAATAACATTTGAAAACTCAGAAAAATATTTATAATTTCAATTTGCAAAATATAAGATGCTCAAAACTCTACGATTTTTGCTATGGAAACAGAAAATTGGGAGAAGAAAAATTTTCAACTATAAATTCAATGTAGCATATCGTCTTTATTTCAACGGACCAGCTTTGACTAATAAAGATTATACGCCGAACACGATTAGCGAAACTTGCTACACCAATCTTTTGGACTTCATGAAAGGAAGGAATAAGGCCAGACCACGCTATGTGAAGCCAGTAACGCCGAACACGATTAGCGAAACTTGCTACACCAATCTTTTGGACTTGATGAAAGGAAGGAATAAGGCCAGACCACGCTATGTGAAGCCAGTAATGTTACGCATGTTTCAACTCTGCTGTTGGATTCTACAGAGGCAAGTTTGAGAACAGAATGTGAAGCCACTGTTACTGCCATAGCCGCAGTCTCGATCTACCCAAACCTCCGACGAATCACAGGTATGGAGAAGACATGTACGAAGATAGGCCAATATATGTTTTTACTGATCCTCAGCCAGATGTTGTAACTGAAGAGGTTGATTAATTAATTTAATTTTAATTTATTGTAAACATATATCTATAGTAAAAATAACAAAGATAACTGAAATTTTGCTTAAACATATTTAAAGGCAAATGCTGTTTGTGCCACAACAATCATTTGCCACATAATAATTTCCTGTTTGCAATATTTGTCAGCAACGCATGACATTTAAGCGCAACCAAACGGGCGGACCATGACAGCTGAGCGCGCAGGAAATTTTTGTGTATATGTGTGTTTGTGTGTGTGTAGATATTGAACTCATATATACATATGTATATGTGTATTAATAAATATATTCATTTGCGCTTGTGTATGTTACTCTATTTTGGCACACAGTTATTGCACTCGTTACACGTTATTTCCTGTCATTCGTCAGTTAGCCGCGAGCCGAATGTCAACTGCAGAAAAAGCAACAAAGTAAACAAGAACAACTCTGGGCAAACTGACAATGGCAATGACGACGCTGCATGTAACTACTATGAAATTGGCGTCAAAAAAAATATGGAAGCGAAAAAAGATATAATAATATAAAGCACACATATATACATATAAATACATACACGTATGTACATATACATATTCGTTAAGGTGTCAGTGCATACATTCTTTTCACGTTTTTTGTCATATTTAAGTAAGACAAATTATTTTCACGCCACTCATTGGCGCTGCTGATGAGTAGGGTAATTTGTGGGCGTCCACGGCAATCCTCGATGCGAGTAGTTGACACAGGTAATATATGTATGTGTGTGCGAGTGCACAATCACAACCGAAAATATATGGAATTTTGCACTTTTGTGATTTATTTCTGTAAGAATTGGTGGACATGTGACTACACCAGCAGCTACTTTTCTTGTCACCGTAATGAATGATTTCACGACTGGTGCCAAGTGTATTGTTGCCTTTTTCACACCTGTCTCACCATATTTTGAGTGGCTGACTACCCTACTGGTCGGTTGGAGCCATTTTTTTTTTTTACTTTGATGAAAAGATATATTGTATGTAGTGGTAGTTTGGAATCTAGATTGATGATGCGAGTAGATTTTTGTTTTAGCTATTCTAAAATACTTTTTATCTACATATATGTATGTGTGTTCACTCATAGATGGATGTATGAGTATATTCCGTTAAGTGAGAAAAAGTTTTCATGTCCGGTATGATATATTCGCAAATTATGCCTTTGCTCTTCCTCACAACAGACGTCCTAATCGGTTCATGCGCTCCTCATTAGTTAACTGTTTTATAATAATTTTGTTGCTACATTTGTTTTAAAATGAGAATCTCGTAATGAAAACTCTGCAGGAAAGAAGTGTAGACTTTTTTTAGAGCTTGTCATCTGGTCAATGTTGTCGAAGTCATCTAAAGAAAGGCCCAATGAACGAGCTGCTTCGATAGCTTTGTACAAAAGAAGAAGAAAAAGAAGAGAGAGAGTGTGAGATATAGGGGGAAATGTTATTGAAGAGCATACGTTGAGCATAACAGCGTTGAGGCTTCAAAAATATAAGTTTAGTCAACTACCATATCCAGCCCTTAATTGGTCGCGCCGATGGCTGATTATGTGGCATCACGTACTGTTATTCTGAAGACCAGGGGTAGACTCCTGATTCATTCAAAATTTGAAATTAAAAAAAAAAAATTAATTTGTCTAATTTCAGTCGCCCCTCGACGGTTGATTTTCGGTGAATGACGTTTAAGTTCTATGTATTGTTTGTGTTGTTGTTGTTGTTTTTGTTGTTTTTGTTGTTTTTGTAGTGGCAATCTAATTCCGCTAAGGAGCTGGCCTAACTAGCATTTGTAATGAAGTCATCTTGCAGGGCTGCCAGCAAACGAGCTGTTTCAACAGGTCAGGCGGGGTATCATTGAATGCAGAACATATGTTGGGTACGTCGGGCTTAAGTTTAGATAAGTAGGAATTAAGTCGAATAGCCAGATCTTAGTTTTAGCCATAGTATATTGTTTGTCGCATTCAACGATTGTAGTAGGTGCCCTAAAACTATGTCACGACGCTTTTCACTGAAGAGGAAAGAAATCTCTCTGTGAAGGTAGCGTACAGACGTCAGGAGTTCCACTGTCACGGTTCATAAGACAATATTCTGTTAAATTTTTAACTACACAATCGTATGTGAAAGGAAGAAACTACATCGCTTTAGTGACTATTTTTAAAATATCGACCTTGGCGTTCATGTCTAGCCGATTTCGTTCCTTCTGTCTACTATTGAAAAGAGATTTTGTGGGAAAAAGTGGAATGATATTGGAAGTGAGGTAGCTGAAATGATAGAGGATCTTCTTCAAAGTATACTATACAACCCAAATTAAGATCTCTCATAGGCATATAAATCCCGCAGGTGGGAGAAACTTTCAGAGTACTAAATTCCCGTTTTAATTTTCCATTTTAATTTTTGTTGTCTGGCCTTAGAATACAGTTCTTGATCGCCGACCACCTTTATCACACGGTTCACATGTTCAATCGCGGTGGTAGCGAGGACTCTCACATGATGCACCATATTTGTAGCCTGTGATTTGGGCGAAGCTACCAATATAGTTCTTACATAATTAGTTTTGGATGAGGTCTCTAGTGGTTAACGGCATTTAGTAGAGGTCCATACCCTACTAGTGCGCTGTAAACTCAGTAAAAAGATGAAAGAAAGGAGCAACGAGTGCTTTAATGTCTTCATTACTGGATACGCCCACAACAGCTGATACAACACATGGGAGTTGACGGGAATTTTTTAAAACAGCCAAAAATGTCACTCTTCCAGCCACTCCTCGCTCTGTTTATGTCAACAGGTAGAGCTTTTTAATCTTGTTATAACAGTTAGTTGGGTGGTGGAAGGGAAGGTTGAAAGCCTGATCGCAGGTGGCAGCATTTATGTCATTGAAGAACTATGCCCATATGTTTGGAATTTATATACTGATATCAATATCTACACTTTTACCCATAGCCCTGCCTTCCGTCCATTCTTCCCATCTCTTCTGGTGTTCTGGTTGGCTTCTGGCAGAAAGTTCCTTTTTCGCTTTTGTATAACACAAACCGCGGCCGATGTAGCCGAGCTCTTAGTGTTGCGTATTGCCTTTCGGTATGCCTGGGTTCTAACTCTGGTACGAAAAATATCCAAAAGTTGTAGAAAATTCACTAAACAAAAAATTTATTTAAATTTTCTAATTGCGGTCGCCCCTCGGCAGGGAACATCAACCCCTCCGAGTAAATTTCTTGCATGAAATTAAGGTTCCTGATAAAAAAAAACCATCAGCCGTTCGGAGACGGTCTCTCCATTTGTTTGCAAAAATATCAAGACGTAAAACCACAAATCGCTTTAGCGGCTACAAAGCGCCAATAAGATATAAGAGGACAAAATTTACATTGATTAAAATCAAGTTTAAATGTCCAGTACAAAATTAATTCGTTCTTATTCTTAATTGGCGTAGAAATCGCTGAAAAAAAGGTCAAAATCCATCTGGCCTTTACAGTGAAATGGAGGTCCTACTCTTTCACTGTTATAACTAGTTGGACTGCATCGATTACTTTCATTCATACTCGCCGAACTTTGTGAAAATCGTCTCAAATCTGAGAGGGGACTTCATTCCATCGACCAGGATATTCACTATTTTCCATGCGCCAGAGGCTATAAATCTTCGCTGAAACATTTCTCCCAAAACTTCTAAACTACATTTGTCCGATGCTGTCACGCCATGACACGAGAATAGGCGGCTTGTAAAGATTTGCCTTTGTTTGTCGAGAGAGAAGTTTCGATCCTCAGTCCCAAGCTCTTCAGCAGTTAGTCCGTTGGCATTCTATTCGAATTTTCCAAGTTATTTTAGAACAAATCTAGGCAAGGCGCGGTATGTAATCTGTCATAAGTCAGGCCAGTTCGGTAGTTTTTGACATGACGTTCCGGTGTGCAAAACTGGTAGGCGAAATATACTCGTAGGATATTATATATATCTACGGACCACTGATAATTCTATGTAAATGACATTTAAATTTTTTGAAGGAAGAGCAATATAATCAAACTAAAGCTTCTCCCTGCATTAAAGAGAACACCACCTACTGCTCAGTATTCCTATCAAAAAAATGTGATCAACCGATGTGGAGCGAAATTGCTGAGGCATCTATATATATATCCTTCTACAGTTTTTTTCGAAATAAAATTTAGCAAGCACTCACCTGAAAAACAGCCCAGAATTTGTATGAACCCTCGGTGATAACGAAATCATAATAACCTTTCAATGGATCGCCTTTGATGTAACGACCTTCGCCCACATCAGTCGATTCCTTTGCAGCTGTGTCAGACATTTGACGTTTCTCACGCTTACCCTGAGCATTTTGACGCGCCATTGCTTCGCCTTTTGTGCCAATGGCTTTTTTATTGCGACCAACACCACCACCACCACTTGCGTTGCTGCTGCTGCTGCCTCTATTGCCAACCGTTTCTTCCGCTTCACTGCTCACCTCCAGCTCTGTTGCGGCAGTACTTTTCATTGTTGTTGTTGTTGTAGTTTTAGGATTCTTATTTGCTTTGTTATTGAGCTTAACTCGTTTAGCCGCAATTGTGGCACCTCCACCAGCAGCACCACCATCACTGCTGGGACTGCTGCTGTTATTCCTTTGTGTATATTTATCCGTGCCGGTTTCGCTGAATTTGGGCGGTTTTTTCGAATTGATACGCATTTGTTGTGCGATTTGCTGCTGACGACGTTTTACAGCTTCTTGTTGTTCTTGTTCTTGTTTTTGTCGATGTGTCGCGAGCATATTCCAAGCGGCGGAAAATGCTTGGTAAATGTCCCACATGGTTTTGAGGCTTTTCAATGTGGATAGCAGTGAGTTCTCCGTGGATGGTGAATTGCTGTTGTTGTCGATTTTGGTGTTGCCGTTACTGTTAGTAGATGGGCGGCTGTGCGGGTCTGCCCCTTGGACCACCTGCAGTTGCTGCTGCTGTGCTGTGGTCTGTTGTGGGCGGATTTGCGGTTTCTGTAATCGTTGTTCTTGCTGTTGCTGTATTAATTGTTGCTTTTGCAATGGCGTTAGTGCGCCGGGATACTCGTAATCATCCATTGGTCCAGTGGCATCGTACGCAGCGTAGGGGTCGCTGTGAAATGTATGAAAGGAATTTGATTGAGTAAAGCAGATCATTTAAATGTTGAAGAAAGTTTAAACGAAGGTCACATGGCTTAAATTATTGAAATTTAAATGTAATTGTACATGAAAATTTAAATTTAGTTTCGATAAAAAATTTAAATCCATGATTTGGGAATTCGAAATTAGATCAGTTTAAATTAAATAAACTTGATTGGAGACCAGAAGTTCGCCTCAAATTATATGATCCCATCTTCATCGCCAGAGAATCCACTACTGTGGATATCTGATTTAATCCCAAATCCTTAATCGACTAATGCCTGGTAGTAATCTGGTTGAACTGGTTGAAGGATTGTTTGTCCAGAAGCAGACCACATGTTTGTTGACGGATATCGCCAGCTCTTCGTTGCTATTTTAGTAGCATCAAGTTTTGCTTGAAGAAGGGAGGAACACCTGATGATTGGGAGGACGGAAGTTACCCCAAATCCATCAAGTGATACTACCCTTTCCTATGAAAAGCTGCTTTCACTTGGTATATACGCTACATTAACTTAGAAGAGCCCCCTGACCGATTGGTTGTTGCTCTGACGGAAAACAAGGTTGACATTGACTCCATTACACATCAGCGTTTTAGATATGAATACTGTTCGAGGTCCTAACATCAGCCCTGATCTTTATCAAACTATCTTCAACGAGCTAATCTGTCCTTATAAGTCCTTATTCTTATCAGCTAAACTCACTACAGAGCAGAATTCGCTTAATTGCTAGAAAGCCCTGAGAAAAACAAGTTTGGCGCACAACAGTTTTTCATCTATTTTTAAAGCTGCCTTCATTGGATCTTCATTGGCGTAGCAACAGCTTTCGCGATTAAAGTTGGATCGTTCCTTCTCTTCACTGTAGTGCGATAGTTGGGAATACCAAATGAGACCAGGTCGCTCTCTACCAGATCCTTTTAATGGAGCGAAGGTCTTCGCCTTCCTCTGCTTCCACTGGCGGGTATTGCATCGAATACTTTCAAAGCTGGAGTGTTTTCATTCATACGAACACATATACAGAACACTGGAGACATATTCTCCGTCAATCATAACTTGGTCAATTTAGTTGTGTAGTTTTGGGTTCGGCTGCAGCTATTAAAGCTATGAGTTTCGCACCACGGCGAAGATAATCAGCTTAAACTCGAATACCATTTATGACCACGCTGACTTTAAAGTCGTCAAATACAATATCCACATGGTGGAAAGCGCAGAGCTCACAAGCTCTTTCTGGGCGCTTATAGATGGCGTACTTGGTCACATCATCCTTTACTTCAGTCGAGACATGGGCGCAAATTAAAAAAACGAGAGAGTCTCTCCACACAAAAAATTTACAAAAGTTCTTAATTTTTGCTCCTTTATATGAACGTTATACTAGATTTAATAAGGGTTCACTTTCCACCGTCCTCGTCCCGTCCATCGCACTTATCAAGTGACGCAGTGGCAACTTCTCGGTTAAGGGACCAGCCTGTCCTGGTGAACGCCCTCAAATTGTGGTCCCTAAAAACCTGTAAGAGGCGTCATCAAAAGAGGGTATCTCATTCGGGACTCGGGGATTCGCCTCTCACTCAAGCTCGCCTCCTAACGGATGTTTGTTGGTAACCCAGAGAATACTTGGTCTAAGATCGGTAGATGTAAGCTGCTTGAACCAAATGGGAAAGAATGTATCTGGTAATGAATGTGGGCCATTTGAATTCATAAAAACTCCGATAATATTATCAATATTTTAGTCTAGCTCAGAATTGGTTTGCCAACAGTTGCACTCGACAAAAAAAAAACTAAACTTGTTCATAACTCCAGGCTTAATTTATGGTATAGAAGGATGGACTCAGGTAACGTTGTTGTTGTAGTTGTAGCAGTTCGCTAATATCGCTTAGAACAAGGCTAGATCAGTCTAAGTCATCGAACTCATCTAGAGGGAGGTCCACGAGTTGTTTTGATGGGTTCGGACCAGAGGGAAAGCATGTTTAAATGAGTTGATCTTTAAGGGTATGCAGCGAGGTGGTAAGTGTCGTGCGGAGATTCATTGAATGCAGGATATACGTTGCGTATGTCGGGGTTAAGACTGGATAGTTAGATACATAGCATAAGTTGTCTGCAAAAGTTGGTAGTTCGACTCTGAGAACGCCATTCACTGGACTAGAGTTGAAGAAAGTATTGATGGACTCTTGGAGTATGGCGTTTAATGCCCGCCAGTAAGCCGTCCTGTCGAGCGGTTCTTGTAGGTGCTGCTAAATGCAGTCCTTATTGTCGAGTTTTCCCCTTCTGATGTACCTTGGTGTTGGTTCGGCTTCTAGTAAGAGTCTGTTGGGATGTTCTCAGTAGGAATTACTTGCACACCAAAGCATAAGGCTTCTAAACTCGTAGCATAAATGCATCGATGTGTAAGTGATGCTTCGGCGACATCACAAGGTTTCCTGTCAAAGTCCTGAAAGTTGTTTTCACAGGCTTTTAATTTATTCATCGGCGCCTCGGTCGGAGTTGCAAAGTTTAATTTTAGTTAATTGCCTTTTAAGTTACCAGCAACGTTTCTATTCCTCCAGGTGCTGGTGTGCTAACGCTTTGAGGAGTTTATTGCGGCTCTAGAGTTTTGTGTCAATAACAGTCATATACGAAGTGTAGGCGTACAGGCTGTCGAATGTGACTCCCAATAACTTTGGGTTTTACATCGAGTTCCAGCCGGAAATCCTTCGTCCAGCGGGTGAGTGGTTAGCATTGCGTGACATAAAATAAATCTCTACATGAAAAACTCAATATTAACTGTAGCTCGCTCCATTTGTTGGAAAAACATCAAGACGCAAACTGCAAATTGGTGGAGGAGCTCGGCCGGAAATCGCTTCAGCAGTTGCAAAACGCCAATTATATAAAATCCCTTCCGGTGGAGGAGTTAGTTTCAAGACATAAAAGTTAAAAGGCGATGTTGAAACAGGCGGTTCCATGCACCGGGGTCGATACGGATCTCCAGGCTGATGGATGCTGACGAAGAGGAAAACCTACGCACCCTTACAGAGATGAGGAGAAGTAGGGCTGGGCGTCATAAAATGTTGAAAAAAAGACTTCCTCAGTTGATATAGTGTAAGTAGTTCACTTTCTTGTCTTATATTTGGATTTTTTAACGTTTGAAACTCATTCTGGAGATTTTATATTATACAGAGAGCAAAGTAAAATCAACTACGTACGAATTAATATCCAACGAAAACTCGACTTTTAACCACAAATGAGCAAAACTCAATAAAGATTGTGCGTGTAGTAAGCTGTCATACTTTGAAGCGCACACTCATTCGCTCTCAAATTTTTCACTCCTCACATTGCACATCATTTCATTACACTTTATGCTCCGCAGTTAATTTTGTTGCTACCAATTTGTGTGATATTTCCGCAGCAACGCCATATTAGCTACATGCTAATGTTGCAACATCACGGACAAACAGCATTACAAATATTTGTACCACCACCACTAGCAGCAGCAGTGGCAACCATTAACCGCACCGTTATGCGGCGGTGGTGGCGACGGCTATAGCTGCAATTACACAGGCTGATGCAAGTTGCAAGCGCACATTAAGTAGCTGCTGCTGTTACGTAAAAATCGTGCGGCAAACGAGCATCAGTCACGCGTAACGCCTCCACCAATCAATGTTTCATATATATTAGAGCACATACATCTAAGCGCACACACTTGGCTTGCGCGGAAATGCATGCATGACAGTTACTTGATAGTAGTTGCAGCAAGTTGTGGCGTCCGTAAAAATCGACAACTAAATCAGCGTCGCCACAACCAACATTGCCACAGCCATACACATATAAACATATACACGTACATTCATATGTGTACATACATATATACATGATGGCATACTCATAAATATATTTTTATGCAAACTCACTCACTTACTTTACTGCTACGCTCCAAAGCTGGTATTTTTCACTTTAATTTCTAATGTTGTTTCTGTTGTTGCAACCAGCATCATTAAGTTGCAACCAAGCGCATTCCCTGAACTCTCGAACAGCACATAGTATGTACATACTTATTGGCAAGTTGTTTGCTAAATTCTCTAGCATCGCCAATACATCAGACTTTACCGTACGTAGATGCGGATGTTGCAACAACGACGTTCATCAAATTTGCAACTTCAAGTATAATGATAATTTTACGCTGAATTTGACAGGGAATTTCATGTATGCCACACTGTCAGTTACGCGCACAACTAGCTAACTAACTAACTAACTAGCTGAAAGCTCGTCCTTTGAGCGCGAACTTTCCAGGCGTGCGTACGTGTATTTGTACGGTAAATTAGTTAAACGTTTGTAAAAAGTGCGTTAAATTGGGGAATGGAAAAAACTTTCTTATTTCCAAATTGAATCAAGTAAATAATGGAATTTTGAGTTTAAAGTTTGATGTTCAATGGAAGGGAGTGAATAGGTCTTTTGGGTACAAAGTAAGTGAATATCATCGGGCTTATCTACGGGGAACATCTAAAGAAACTCGTTTTGGTAAGAGGAAACATTATATGCTTGGATCGCATTGTGGAAACCCGATTAGCAGCAGTTACTGGTTGTATATTGAATAAGGCGCTCACCAATCGGGTAGGGTCGAGGTTAGCTGCTTCAGTTAAGCAGTTTGTAGAATTTAAATGTGTTCCATAGTTATGCTGTAAGATAATATTTCTTGTTATAGCACCACCGCCTAATCTACAAAGCGCCGAATGTTGGCTAAAGAAACGGAAAATTTGCTGAATATCATATCCTACATTTTACTTGTATAAGTAGACCGAGGCTTGCCTAATAAAAGATTCAGAGAACTAAAAGAAATACTCACTCACACTTCTTGCAAGTAGATCAGAAAGGTGAGTTTCGAGAGCAAACCTCATTTCATAGTGATTTAATGCTTGCCAATCCCGCCAAACACACATAAAGAACCTTACTGGTCATCAATCCCTGCTTGCACATACTTTGTGCCGACACACTTCTCTTTGAACACGAC